AGCCACTTATCAAGTAAGTTCTGGAGATTTGACATCCCCAACAGTAAATCGTGCCAATTCTCTATAACGACAATATGAGGTCAAATGAATGACCGTACTCGGATCCTGTATGCAGGTTTCGGAGACGCAGCATATGTTGATGGCACAGGATTCTTGAGTCCTAGCTAAGGAAGCTTGTTTTCCTATCTGACACAAGATTCGAACATTAAAAGCTCAAACATGAGGTTTCAGTAGACCATGGATAACATCTCGTGAGCTCAAATAATTAGCATTGGTGGGGTGTTGTGATAAAGATATGTGAGAAGAGCTAGGGGTGATCGTTAACAAAATAACCTAGGGTTGTGATAAAGGTATAAGGGCGGTTGTCACTTCCCGGTCACCCAATCCTTGTCACGACACTTACTCAAGCGGGACTCGAATAATCTAAATTAGTGGTGGTCTTAGAGACTTGGGAGAGTGACGGCAAACTCAATGGACAACTGCTTGAGGCCGGTCACGAACAACCTTTCTATGGGAACCTTGGGATGTGTTGGTCCTGTACATCGACAGCCTTGGTGCCAGAGACGGAAACCCATGGAGCAAGGTCAGGATTGACATCTTTAGGGTCGAACTTTTCTAACTCCTTCCTTGAGTTGTGAGAAGGCAGCATCGCTGTAGGTACTGGTTATCCGAGGGAAACAGGAGTACGACTTCGCTTTCGGGTTTTAAGTTTGACCGTTCTTCAACCGACCTGCCTGGCATAGCGGGACCTAAAAGACTATGTGTTCTAACCAATATGGCTCGGTTGATTCATCACAATAGGCAAACCCGACCAACGCATCAAGGTACCAGCTACAGTGTAGTCTATAAGCAGATAATCGAAATTCAGATATTGTTATTGAACGCAGATCTTGGCCAGTTAAAAGCCGTATATAATTTACTATCAGATATTAGATAACTTTGATTTTTTTATCATATTTCCTTGAAAAAGCTTGGACCAGATTACGAGGTGAAACGTTGGATTTACTTCGAATTCATTCGCTGAGATTTTTCAAATATATTATTCCTATTTAATGTCTTACATCAACTCGGCGCCCGAAGGCTGCGAAACTATTCGCTCTAATTTAGACGAAAGTTCTTATATATCAGATAAATTATATACCAGTTTTAACTTATTTATTTAAACACATAAATATTGGTACAAGGAAGCACCAGATAAATATGCGCCGCACAAATCTCATTTGATTTGTGTGATGGTTGTGATACTGCCCAGGTGCCCAGACTGAAACAGGTGGTTTTCTTAGGGGGCCACAACCCAAGCCTTTGACCTGAAGGTCTAGTCCACAAGGCAGTGGAGCATCGTAGGGAAAGGCAGTCCCATGGTAGCCGGTGACCAACAATATGTCCATACGCCATTCGTTCCATCAGGATCCTGGAGCCCATGTGCACCATTGGTTTGGAATCAGGTTTTTCCAACCCCCCTAGATGGATCCTCAATATCCACCAAACCGGTTAAAGCGCCGGACATTCGCTTTTCGTCCTCTTACTTTCGTGAACAACACTCCCGCCACGAGAAGGCAGTGAGTAGGACTTTCCTGGCAGAGGCTATATATTCGCGTGGTCATGTGAGAGCATTTGGAGAGGAAGAGCGGACTTTCCCCACTCTCGGCTGTACCAGGGCATTTGGGGGCAGTTTTAACTAGCCAAGGTCCGAGTTCGATAACAATATTTCAATTTATCTGGTCATATTTTATTTCAATAACCCCATTCGCCTCTTCACTTCTGGTTAGTTTACATACTCATGATGACATTACTAATCTAACTGACGGTTTGAAGATAAATAAAATGGTTACTCAACAAGGCATGATTAGAACTCAAATATGAGAAAATGGCTGATGGCGCGTAAAATAGTAATGATAGATGTGTCGAAATTCTGACTTGGATGGCCCTTCAATGCTTCATACTTCTAACATCCCACCAACAGTTCTTTGAATTCTCATCCTAACATTTCCCTAATATGTTTTGATAAAAGTTCTTAGCAAACTGTTTAGTAGATAGTAAGGCTTCCCCATTAAATATTGATCATACACCAAAATGATACACAATACAACAGACATTACTGTCATTGAACATTAGTGTCAGTTTGTGAATTCACAGCTTTAATGAGTGGTGTAGAACTTTAAACGACGAGATCAGATAGTAGTGCTAAACGGTCATCCTTCCGGACCTAATGATTTTAATAAAATGCAGACCAACCCAATCACACTTGATGGCGAAACTCTGGAAGAGGTGGAAACATTCAAGTACCTGGGGAGCATCGTTGATAAACAAGGGGGATCGGATGCAGATGTAAAGGCAAGGATTGGCAAAGCAAGGGCAGCATTTCTACAATTGAAGAACATATGGAACTCAAAACAACTCTCAACCAATTTCAAGGTCAGAATCTTTAATACGAACGTCAAGACAGTCCTACTGTATGGAGCTGAAACGTGGAGAACTACTACGACCATCATCAGGAAGGTACAAGTATTTATAAACAGTTGTCTACGCAAAATACTCAACATCCACTGGCCGGATACTATCAGCAACAGCGTTTTATGGGAGAGGACAAACCAGCTTCCAGCTGAAGAGGAAATTAGGAAAAGACGTTGGAAGTGGATCGGACATACATTGAGGAAATCACCAATGTGCATCACGACTCAATCCCTAACTTGGAATCCTGAAGGGAAGCGGAAACGAGGAAGGCCAAAGAACACACTACGCCGAGAAATAGAAGCCGATATGAAAAGGATGAATAGCAACTGGAAAGAACTGGAAAGGAAGGCTCAGGACAGAGTTGGATGGAGAATGCTGGTGAGCGGCCTATGCTCCTCGACGAGGGGTAACAGGCGTAAGTAAGTAAGTAAGTAAGTAAGACCAACTTTCAGACTTTTCATGAAACCTATCTTTAGCTGTCAGTTAACCATAGACATGGGATTTGCCATTATTGTGTATTGGTTCAAACTGCAACAACTTACAACAAAGGGATTTTAACAGGATAAAATGTCACGAAACCAAACGCTGATTAAATTCACGTACAACACATGAAAAATTATTGTCAACCAACTAGTTTATAAGATTTGTGTGCAAGCACCTAACAAGTAACTTGTCAAGCGAGACACTCGATGTAGCTCGGACAATAGGTACTCAGTGGTCACATTATATCAATGATGGTAACCTGATGACCGTTTCTTATTCCTTCGATATGTCCATAAGTTATAACTCACCTGCGAAGAGATTGAGCACTGTGTAAGAAGCTATTTATTTATCTACTCTGAAGTGACTTGCATCAATTTACAAAACGTCGGAAATACAAATTTCGGTAAAAGTACAATATTATTACAGTTTCGGCAACCAAACAGGAAACACCGCCTAGTTATAAAACAACTAAAAATACAAAGTAATGAGACAACAATGGAATAACAGCTTTGGTCGTATAGATTAACCCTCACAAGTCCAACTAGTAGTGAAGAAAAAAAATGCCAAGCATACAAATGTGTATACACATTCGGAGTCGGACCAGTGTTACGAGTTGAGGCTATTACCACAGAGTTTTCAACGCCAACTGACATTGACTAAAATGTGAGAGGGTTATGTGCTAAGAATTAAACTGTACTTTTGGGTTAGGTTCAAAAACTTGGAATAAATGGAATATAGGCCTATTATTTGCCATCGACTACCATGGGACTGCATCTCTTAACGTTGCTCCATTGCCTCGTGGATCGGGCCTCTAGGTCAAAGGTTTGGGAAGTGGCACCTTAAGAAAACCACCTGCTTCCGTCCGCGCACCCAAATAATATTCCAGACCACAAACAAGTCGGATGATGAAGTGTAGAGCATATATATTCGGTGCCTCCTTGTACCAATATTTATATTTAATAAATAAAATTAGCATAAGCACCATCTAAAATTCACTTTTTGATTGCATAAGAGATATCTTCACTGGTTTCAAACATATTGCCATCTTCACTTAGTTAATGATCAAATACACGTTATCTACCACTGCACTTTGAATTCGCTTAAAATACATGAAGCGTAATTTTAATTTTGTTTAATACAAGTCCGTCAGCATATTATACCTCTACCCAAGTTTCGACGTATTGAGATTTTGCGATAATACATATTTATCAGTACATACGAATGTATTAGGTAGTCTACTTACCAACCAACAGCAGAAACATACGTTTTAATAAAGTACCATTACTAATAAAAATAATCGATTTAATTAAAAACAAGTGCATTTTTGGAGTGCGGAAGACCGTGAACTACTGTCACCAGAAGAAGTAAAAACAAATGGCCTGAAGCTTACCCAAGAACAGAAGTTGAAACACTCAATTAGCAGATGTTGCTAGACAAATATGTAGTTGACATTTCAAGTGGAACTAATACTTTATCCTCACATTGGAAACTAACTTACATTTTTAGAGCTATACAAAAGCATATGCTGGTGGCATTTCTACACATAACAGTTAATTAACCTTTGTATGCCGCTTTGGAACCTAAGAGATGTGGTAGGCTAGTTGAAAAAATCTAGTGACAATAAAATAATGGATGTAATGCTCCACATACGAAGTACGATATCTACACATTCAAAAATCTGAAATATGTTACTTACGTAGCTTTATCTGATCCTGTGCACCATACAACAGTAAACATCCACAGAGAAACTACACCGCTGGTATAATGAAACTAATTTATTTAGCCACAACGTATTTCGTGTAGTTATGATTAGTCAACTAAAAGACACCACTTGCAGTGAACAAACTATTTGTAATAAAGATGAGATTGACGCTACACAACAAAGGAGACAAATGTATGAGTTTTACAAGGTAAAATACAATGTGAAAATACGGGGTGAGATACGTGATTTCAAGACTTAGTGAAAAAACGTTTCGCAAAATCAGTCTCCGGCTCAAACTGTTTTTAAGTTTATTGTAGATTATGTACACCACCAAATACAGATGCATTAAATTTGTTACTGTTTACTTTTTACGCATTGTAGACCACTCCGTCCATCCTTTCAAATAATATTTTGCCCTGAACAAGTTACAAAAATATATACTTAGCGAACCTTTTATACCCCAGACTGTGAGCTATTTCACAGGCACTTGATGATGACACATCCGACAATCCATAAAATATAACGTTGCTGTCGCTCGTTTTCGGCTTAGATACACCGTATTTCTGAAAAAATTCGCTGTCACTGAGGATGAGTGATTTCTTCAAATCGGCAACTGAGAAGTCAAAATGTAAGCAAAATACTTACGAGGTATATTAACGGAACCCGGAATACTGCCGGTGGACTTCACATCATCGATACTTCTTACATCAAACAGTTGGACAGTTTCTTTGGAAATTTGCGAGCTTAACTCGTCGTAGGTGATGACAAATTTTGGACGAGACTCATCTACATGAGCTTTTATTGTGCCTTCAGAACCAATAGCCTCGGCTTTTTGAGAAAGATATCTGGCAACCAAAACTCTATTATACAAAACTTTGTGCGAACACAAAGTGTAGTTTTTGGGACTTCGACATATGAGCGAAAACACACGGTTAAAAGTAAAAGCTGGACATGAAGTAAGACGGATTAATGACATTATTGTGAAAAACGAGATACTGGCAAGGACGGATGAACAAGTCAAATCTGCCTCCACGACCTTGTGCTTTTGTACAAGGCTGGTATTAATCACTTTGTCTTCAGTAATAAGGTCAGTAGGTTGATGAACCTGTGTTAATCCTGACAGATTGACTACCGGTGAAAATCCACCATCTCTTTGAAAATGTTCACTGATGGTGCTGATACCACTTGTTCGGGTAATGAGTTCCGGTCATTGACCAATCGATTAGAAAAACGGGACCCCACCTTTAGTTTATTTGATCACTGTTTGTGAACCTTCTTGCTATGACCTCGGAGATTATTAGTGCTGGAGGGAGCAAAAAGACAAGACATATTAACACCGAAATCATAATTAAAGATACGAAATGACAGTATAAGGTCACCTCGTGTCCTACGGTAAGACAAGGGGAAAACGTTTAGACGTTTCAAACGCTCATTGTAAAGGAGTTTGGAAAGACTTTTCACTAATTTTGTCCATAGACGATGGACACGCTCTAGTGATTTAGTATATTTATCAGACATGTGTTAGCTGCTTCGATACAGTACTTTAAGTGTGGCCTTACATAGGTGGGATATAAAATTCGAAACATCTCCTCGTCAAAGTATTTAAATGCCCGGCATAGTGACCATAGCGCACGATAACCTTTGGAGGCAGCCGCGTTGTAGTGCGTAGTAGTTTTCAAGTCGTGACTTATAGTTACTCTTAAGTCTTTATGTTCTTGAACGCGTGGGAGAGATGTACCATTAATGATATAATGGTAACTTTTACCGTGCCCAATGTGCATGAGCACGCTCTTCCTAGAATTAACTTCCAAGCCCCAATCATGGGCTCATCTAACTAATTCGTCTAAATCAGCTTGGGGATGACAACGATCAGCCTCACTTCTTATTGTTCTGAATTTTTTAACATCATCCGCAAACTATAATGTCGATGGCTTAAGTAATAGAGGTGATTCATTAACATACAGATGGAAAAGTAAAGGGCCTAAGATGGTGCCTTGGGGTACACCTCTTTTGATAGATTTCCATTCGAACATAGCGTTCCATTGACCCTCACTCTCTGTCACATAAGAAGCTTCCTATCCATTCCTGTATAGCACCTGTTATTCCAAAGCTCGAGAGATTCTGCATAAGACCCAAGCGTGATACTTGTCAAACGCTTCGCCAAAATCTATGAGTATCACATTGACAGAAAGGCCATTATCTAAGGCTGCTGTCCAATCCTCTCTCGCAGTGAATAAGTTAGTTAAGCATGAACGCTTGTTACGAAAAACATGTTACTCGGGAGTTAACAGATTATACGAATCTATGTGACCCAGTAGCTTAGCCTGAATTATCTTTTCATGTGACCTAACTACTATACTGGCCAGGCTGACAGGCCGGTATTTAGATACGATCCGTCTCTGACCATCCTTAAATATAGGACTAACTATGGCGTCTTTCCAGTCTCTAGGTAGTTGAGCACGTGAAAGGGACATGTTGAAGAACGTCGTGAGCGGTCCTGAAATAATATCCACAAGCGATGTTACCCATCAGGGCCCTGTATCTTACAAGGTTTGAGATTAGTTATCATTGGAAGAACAATTTCCTCGGTCACTTATATATATCTTATGGCCGGTATCGCGTTGTAAATGGGACAAGTAGTTGTAACACTACACGTAGAGTATACTTCACTTCAGTCAATCGAGATAGCGCAGTCTCTGATTGTCGGAATGTTAGCTCTCCAGATATTAGGACGGGGTGGAGCAGATGCAAATGCTTTGCCATGTATCCGGAACTTAAAGGAAAGTACGACATGGCCACTATTCACCAGCGGTGGAAGGTGTTGAATGTCGACGACATCTTCACAGTGGTGTGTGAGGACAAGGTCTGTCAATGACGGATTGGGTTCCAAGTTTAGGTTTTACGATACAATGTACAAGTGCATACTGAATAATTGTTGATGGAAGGTCGCTATCGAAACCACCACATGGAGCTGTGAGCTCTATCCAGTTTATATGGGGTGCATTGAAGTCTCCAACGATGAGACAACATTCTGCTTTACTCCAAGAACAGACGTGTTTTAGGATAAAGTCGTCAGCGAGACAACACGGACTACGATATATTCCTCCTATCGTCACTAACCCGTTTCTAGACCTAATTGTACACCATACTACCTCACACGTACCACTTACATGCGCCTCCGATATGATCGAGTGTATGCGAAAGTAGTCCCTAACATATAACATTATGCCTCCTCCCTTGCGACTTATAACTCTATCACTTTTGAAACAGATGTAGCCTGAAATTATGGGAGAACAGTCTATATCTACAGTGAGCCACGTTTTGGCAACAACAATTATATCAGGATTTAATTCGTCCACCATCAAACTTAGCTCGGACATCTTATTTCGAAGACTACTGGCATTCGTGTAACACACATTTAAGGTATTTTTGGAGACATACGTTCGACCCATACAGGTCTCGGAAGCATTTAAATAGCTTGACGTTGATTAAATATGTGGCAATTCGCATACTTTCGAAGTGTCCGAAAAATAAGTGGTCTATTGACTTCCTAAATTTAAAAATGTCATTCGAAATCGTTTCAAGTATGTTTTCCGTTCTTTTAGTGCTAACATTTCATTTGTTCTTAAGTAATTTCCCATTGGAAAGCTACCGTTACATCTATTTCGTTGAAATACGTAATACATTACGAAAAATGTAACATCAGTAAATAATACTACATAGAGAAATGTCTTGCGTTATTGATCAAGCTTCCAGTTCCAGAAATATTTCGGTTGATATAATTGGATGTCATGGACGACTGATTCTGAACCAACATTTCTTGTCCGGGGATGATTTCCAAAAGATGTTTGATGAAATTCAACTTGTGAGATGGGTTTAGGTCTATTAAAGAAGCGTGGTCCATATTGAATTATACACTTACAATAGTTACTGTAGACCATCAACGTTGATGGTCTGTGTCGAATGATTGGAGGCCTACTCGAGTTAGACATGGACGGTGTAACGAATAAGCTAGCTCCAAAGTCATACCTTGCGACCAGCACCTTGCGTGGATTGCCCCATCGACGTATCAAGGGACCATGGATGCTCTGAAGACTGTACAACACAAAGGACGTTACTACAGGAATATATTAATTAAAAGAGATACAAGCGAAAGTAGAGCCACTGCCGCATGGGCCAGTCCATGGCGTATGATTAACTGATGTGCGTTGATTGTCCGTGATCTTGGCGGGGATCGGTGATCTGTTCCATGCCTAGTGACTCAACTGCCGGATGATTTGGCTAGGGTTCAGTGACATTTCACTGGTCCTACATCACGTCTCGTTTTTACCATGCTTAGTACCAGGTAGAAATAATAACTGCCCACTCCGAATAACTGAAGAACCCAAGAATCTTCTTAGAATTACGAGAAAACATTAAAGTATGTTTATTGGTGAAGGTTCTGAGCAGTACTTATCTCAATAGTGTAAGACTAGAAATGCTTACAACGTGTTGTTACCTATGGTTAGACTTCCATTTGAAAAACAACTGGTTAGGTATTATGAAAATGCTCCAGAAAGTTTTTCTCATATATAAATAGTTAGGTACAGTGAAGTGATAAAATCCCGCTAATTTTGGTCAAAGAAAATCCTTTGATACTTGCAAGAAATGATGTTGCTAAGGATAACGCTTTTTCTGAATATTTTAGTAAAGTGATTTCTGTAGATTAAGGTGAAAGGTCAACAGTTAATAGAGAAAGTTAAGGCTTGTTGAAGGATCTTATAATTATGGATACAGGAGCTGTCTCATGATTACTACAACATCTCAAACCAGATAAATCCGGTGGTATTCATCCTAGGATTTTGTCAACAGCACATCTGGCAAAACTGTTTTATGCATCTTTAAGGTTTTGGTGGGATCATCTCTCAATCACACGATCTTTGAAGCTGAACATATAATTTCTAAAAATATTTACATTTAACATCCAACAATAAGAGAACAACGGGGAATGCAGAAACGATTGATGGCACGGCTCAGAATTGCAGGCGTGGTCATTTGGTGTAACTTGATCAATTTCGCATTGATTAAATTGTTCTATCTCCAGCCCAGATGTGTTCTGTAGAAACGCTAAATATTATGTTTCTGATTATTATGTTAGACGAGTCAGTTTAGAGAGTGATATTACTTCCACGTAAGATTCCGTATATTATGTAGCCGCATTATTAGAGATCTGCAATTTTCGGATTACATATATATTATTTTAGTAGTACTAATGCAGAAGCAGACCACAATTCAACATCAGTGAGACCGACTAAAGATACTCAGCCTGTTATTAATCCTCATTTTCACCTTAACCATCATCAAAAAGTACAATTGTCTACGCAAGATACTCAAGTCCACTGACCGGGCACCATCGTTAACAACCCGTTGTGGGAGAAAACAGACTAGCTCCCGGCTGAAGAGGTAATTAAGAAAAGACGCTGGAAGTTGACATTGACGTACATTTTAGAAATCATTACACTGCATCACGCGACAATTTTGAAAAGAAACGGGAAAAAGGAAGACCAAGGAACACACTGCATTGGGAATTACGGGGAGACATCAAAAAATGAACAGCGCTTAGAAACGACTGGAAAGAATTGCCCAGGATGGAGTTAAGCGGAGAATACTGGTGGATGGCCTATGCTCCTTCAAAAATGTAAGGTTAGGATGATTTTTAGTGTTTTCTTATATCATGCAAAACTAGAAGCATAAAATCGTAAAACAAACATAGTATAGTAAGGTAGATTTTTGTCTGTATGCAAATGTTCACAAACAAAAAACTGCCGGTTCAAGAACATGATTTCCTTTAACAAACAAGGTTTGGAATAAATACAGCAATGAATTAAAATCTTGATATTTTAATTACTAACAGATAAGCCTTTATTAAAATTCCTATGCTTTAATCAAATATTTCAGCAAAGAAAGATTCTGTTTCCCACGATCATAAATACACTG